TCCTCTATTCCAACCTGGCAAGATATCGAAAAAGCTATACTAGATATTCTAAGAGCAGGTATATATTATAGAAAACCGAAAAATAAAGGTTTCATGAGCTGGTATAAAAAGCAGTTAGAAGAATTACGTGGATCAGAAGATCCAGAAATACACGTATATGAAAAAGCAATAGAAAAATTTCCTAATGAAGAGATTTTTAAATCAATTATGGAAGACCACAAAGGTTATTATAAAAAAGAAATAAAAATCCGTCAAGCTATTGAAAATTATTATAATTTATGTTATAATATAGCCAAGGAATCGTTTAGTACAGATGAGGAAAGAGAAGAAGAATTTCAAGCATGGCTCAACTCTTGAGTATCCTCTGAGGTGGGTATTCAACATTCTTGACAACCATTAACTCCTCTCGAACAAAAGACCGCTTCGGTCCATTACCATCAATATCTTGTAACCAGTATAAAACTGGTTGATTTTTTTGTATGAGCGCTTTTTTGATATGATAAATTTGCGGAGACCAATTACAATCAGTTGCGCGACGTCTACCACCCTCTAATTCACCATCTTTAAGCAAATATCTAACCGAGACATTGTATGTTAAACGAATTTCGTCATAACCCGTAGGGCCATTGCGAGGCTTGGAGGCTTTAGCATAAACATGTTCTTTTTTTCTCGCTTCAGCAGGAGACATACCAATTAACCGTGTCGGTGTATTGTCTAGTTTTTCAAGAAAAATCGGTAAATTTTTTACCCAAGCCCGACAACGTTCAGTCGGAGGTAATAACAATTCTACAGCGTCTTGTATTCGAAAAGCCCACGTTTGTAAGGTTTTGTTAAATCTCTCGACAATACCCATATTTTCTTTAGAGTTAGCTAGCTGAATTTTGATATTATGTTTATTCATCAATTTTATAACGTCTTTTTTAAATTCAGAGCCTTTGTCAACCATTAACTGTTTTTTAGGCAACGTCAGCGGGCACTTTCGAGAATTAAAAAGTTTTTCCAATCCTTTAGCCACACTAGCGGAATCCCGATCAGTCAAAGGATAGGTCCATTTTGTGCGAGATGCTACATCCACACAATTAAGCGCAAATTTATAGACTTTTCCTCGAAATTTATCATGTGGCATATAGCATAAATCAACTTGTATAACTTCCATCGGAACGGTAATATTATTAAAACTCGCACAAGGAATAAATTTCGGGCGGGGCTTATGAATTTGATGTAGCGCCTGTTTGTCTAACCATCCTCTCACATCAACCAATGAG